CATTTAATACTGGATTACATGCAATTTATTAACTGTTTTGTTCTTTTTTAACCGTTTTATTCGGACACTGAGCTCATGGCTATGATTGTACAAAATGTTTAATTTTTTCTTTGAGACGCTAGATATATGTCTTCAAGGACAACATTCAAGCACACACATTTCTTATCTAATCTAAGTGGAATCTGCATGGATTGAGAGCTGGCCTGATCATGTCAGCCTTCCTTCTAGGGCAGGCCCAGTCCAAGAGGATGAGTGTACTCAAGAGATCCTCATTGAGCTATGACAGTTAAGAGGACAGTGCACTGATATACTTTACATGTGACATGAAGAAATTATATACATATTTTTACTCTGGTCATTTTTCCGTTTTATTCTCAGGCTTCCAATAAAAGAATCAGGCTAACACAGAAGTACTTGCCTGATAATGTTCTTTATTACTTGTCAAAAGAAGGAAAAAGATTGCACAAAGCTGGCAGAGTATGTATATGTGTTCCTTGGCCCCAAACTCAGAATTGAATAAGAATGTATTCATTTATGATAATCAGATTTATCCATATCTTTAAATAACAGCTCCACGTTTACTTCAGCCTAAAGCTGTATCACCTCAACAAAAAAATATTAGTATTGTCTGCAAAAGAGAATAATCATTTTCTGAAAAAGAAAATAATACATCTATATTTTTTCTCATTAATAAAAAGAAGGAACAGTTTTGTCCCAAAACTGATTCCCTGGGGGACACCACAAACAATCAAACAATGTCAAAGATTAACTGGCGGCCATCCATTTGTACAAATTGTTGCTTAAATAGCTTTTCATGGCGTAAAGGACTACTCTTCTGATACCAAAGTGCTCCAATTTCTTGACTACTATTTCATACTTATTGTGTAAAAAGCTTTTTGACATTGATAAATATACCACCTGCAGATTTGATCATTTCTAAGGAGGTGGTAAATTGTATTCATTCACACCTTGCCGTTGATGTGGGTCTTTGTTATCTAAATCCATATTCACTTTATCACAGTAGTTTATGTTTATTACTATAATCCTTTAAAGGTTTTTTAAAATTTTTTACAACCACCAGCTGTCTCCCCTTTGAGTTGCTTTAGGTAGGGAATTAATCATTACTCATGGGCAATGTGTCTTTCAAGAAAATCCAGGAATCCTTATTGATGCTGACATTTTTTTATTGTTATTTACCCAACTCTGAACAATGACCCAGGATAAGGACACATTTGTCATTAAAACCTATTCTCTTTGACAGAATGTCAAATAGAATCCTGTACAAGAGGGGCCTAATGAAGAGAAGTCAAAATTAGAGAAATATGTTCTCTAATTCTACTTTTCAAAAGAACTCCCATAGCAGCATTGTTTAGATGGAGGCTTTTCAGGGAGTTAGAACTGTACAAGCTGAAGTATAGCCAATTTTCATATGATTTTTACTGAATGAAACATTGTCAAAAATATGGTAGTGCTGAAATCTATGGTGATGTTATCTAGAGAAACTGTTTATCTTCCTGAGGTGCCAAGTTTTCAAAAGCAACTTTCAAAAAAAGAAATTTCTGAACATCCGGCTTAAGGCATACTGTAAGTATACAGTGGTGTGAAAAAGTGTTTGCCCCCTTCCTCATTTCCTATTCCTTTGCATGTTTGTCACACTTAAGTGTTTAGGAACATCAAACCAATTTAAACAGTAGTCAAGGACAACACAAGTAAACACAAAATGCAATTTGTAAATGAAGGTGTTTAATATTAAAGGTGAAAAAAAATCCAAACCATCATGGCCCTGTGTGAAATCAAGACATCACTTAAATAGGAGCTGCTTGACACAGTAAGGTCCACCAGAAGATCCTTAAAAGCTACACATCATGCCGACATCCAAAGAAATTCAGGAACAATTGAGAAAGAAAGTAATTGAGATCTATCAGTCTGGAAAGGGTTATAAAGCTATTTCCAAAGCTTTGGGAATCCAGCGAACCACAGTGAGAGCCATTATCCACAAATGACGAAGACATGGAACAGTGGTGAACCTTCCCAGGAGTGGCCGGCCGCCAAAAATTATCCCAATAGCGCAGCGACAACTCATCCAGGAGGTCACAAAAGACCCCACAACAACGTCCAAAAAACCGCAGGCCTCACTTGCCTCAGTTAAGGTCAGCGTTAATGCCTCCACCATCAGGAAAAGACTGGGCAAAAATGGCCTGCATGGCAGAGTTCCAAGGAGAAAACCACTGCTGAGCAAAAAGAACATCAAAGCTCGTCTCAATTTCTCCAAAACATATCTTGATGATCCCCAAGACTTTTGGGACAACATTCTTCTGGACCGATGAGACAAAAGTGGAACTCTTTGGAAGGTGTGTGTCCCTGGATATCTGGCGTAGAAGGAACATTGCATTTCAGAAAAAGAACATTATACCAACAGTAAAATATGGTGGTGGTAGTGTGATGGTCTGGGGCTGTTTTGCTGTTTCAGGACCTGGAAGACTTGCTGTGATAAATGGAATTATGAATTCTGCTGTCAACCAAGAGATCCTGAAGGAGAATGTCCGACCATCTGTTTGTGTACTCAAGCTGAAACGAACTTGGGTTCTGCAGCAGGAAAATTATCCTAAACACACCAGCAAGTCCACCACTGAATGGCTGAAGAAAAACAAAAGGAAGACTTTGGAGTGGCCTAGCCAAAGTCCTGACCTGAATCCTATTGAGATGTTGTGGTATGACCTTAAAAAGGCCGTCCATGCTCGAACCCTCTAATGTAACTGAATTAGGACAATTCTGCAAAGGTGAGTGGGCCAAAATTCCTCCAGGACGCTGTAAACGCCTCATTGCACGTTATCGCAAACGCTTGGTTGCGGTTATTGCTGCTAAGGGTGGCCCAGCCAGTTATTAGGTTTAGGGGGAAATCACTTTTTCACACAGAGCCATGATGGTTTGGATTTTTTTCACCTTTAATATTAAACACCTTCATGCAAAGGAACAGGAAATGAAGAAGGGGGCAAACACTTTTTCACACCACTGTAGCTGAGTGTCATCTACGTAGAAAGTGAAGATATATGCCATGCTGTCTGATAATTGTCCAACCTCAAGCATGTGTAAAACAATTTGTTCTGATGATTTATTTATTAGTAGTACACAACACCCTTCGGTCATGATAAATGAGTTGTAGTCAGGGGTTTGTGTTCAAAATAAAACATACGCAGCAGTAAATATGGAAAGACATTCTTTCATGCAGCAATAATAATTAACTGCTCAATTTATTTGTAAAAATATATAAATTCTCATTCTATCTCTGGTAAGATAACCATTCCAACAAATGGGTTAATTGTAAACGTAATTTGTTTCTCACATCACATTAGACTAACTTTAAACCTTAGGTATGTGGATGGATTAAGTCAGTGTTTAAACATGATGAGAGATTGAATCACTGCTTGGCCCCAAACTTTGGTCCGAGTTGAATGATAATTTATTTGTTTATACTATTTAAATTCATCAATATCAAACCATACCTTTAACTGACATAACTCCATGTTGATTTAAATCAAAAGCTGCTGCAAAGTATCACCTGTACAAAAAATATTAGTACTGTCTGCAAAACAAAAGAAGTAAAGTATCTTTATAACTTCACTGATGTCATTTATTAAAAGGACAGTTTTGTCCCAATATTGACCTCCTGGGGAACACCAAAAACAATCAATAAATGTCAAAGAAAGATGACTGGCAGTCACCCATTTGCACAAATTGTTCCTTAAATAGCTTTTCATTGCTCTGATACCTCTGATACCATAGCGCTCCAATTTCTTGAATACTATTTCATGATTTATTGTGACAAAACATTTTGACATTGATAAAAACATCAACTGCAGCTTTCATCATGTCTAATGAACTTGTTAATTCTTTTAATTCAAGCACTGCCATTTCTATAGATCTTTATCTAAATCCATATCGACTTTCAGAGAGTAATTTATGTTTATTACTATAATCCTTTAAAGGTGAGCATGATAATGTCACAAAGGCATTCCCCTTTTTTTTACAACCACAGATCCTCTTTCCACTTTGAGTTGCTATAGGTAGGGAATTAATCATTACTCTAGATGCATTTTATTGTATTGTGTGGGGAAACTTGTCTGTACAGTCCTATCTGTTTCTGTCATGGTTGGGGTTACGCGCTTGACCCACATGCAGAAAC